CCTGGTTTTTTTTTTCTAATGGGTTAGGGGTGCAAGGGTCTTGTAACTTGACAGCTTTGACTTGCGTGCTTCAAATGTCAGAGTTTCTGAGTGAACATTTTGGTTGCTAAGCAAGAGCGTTGTTAAGTGAGTTTCACCACATTTTACAAGTTGGCCATGCCCACCCAGTCACATGACTGCCAAGCCACTCCCACTCAGTCACATGGCCGGCAAGCCACTCCCACCTGGTCACATGGCCAGCAAGCCACTCCCACAAAGCAGGCCACTCCTACAGAAGAGATTCTAAAAAAATTTGAAACCCACCACTGAACAACACCCTATTAATTACTTGGTGGGGTGGTGTTTCTTCTTTCAGAACCTGAGCTTCTGGAACAAGTTCCTAAAAACAGAAGAATCACGTATGAAGAACTCAGAAACAGAAACAGAGAAGGACACGAGGCTGGGACAATGCAGAAATCTGAAGTTCGAACAAGCCCATTTCCAATGAAGGAGAGAGGTAAATATTCAGTGGGGAACGTATTGGGAAATTGGAAACTTTAAAGCAGTGTTTCTCAACCTTGGCAACTTGAAGATGGCCGGACTTCAACTCCCAGAATTCCCCAGCCAGCAAATGGTTGAGAAACACTGCTTTAGAGGATTGGAGGAAAAAAAAAATAGGTAAAATGAGGAAAGAAGGAATAACTAGATGTCCAACCCACGGTGAAGGGCGCAAATTGTGATTACGCGACTGCGGGGTACTGCAACAGTCGTAAATGCATTCTGGTTGCCAAGTGTCCAAAGCACAATTATGTGATCTGAGGGATACAATGACAGCTACAACTTCAAGACCTAGTTAATAAACTCTCATTATTTAGCCTTGTTGTAGCTTCAAACTGTAAATAATTAGCTATCGGTAGTAAGTGAGGGTACTTGGCAGTGATGCTTTAAACCAGGGATGTCAAACTCGATTTCATTGAGGGCCACATCGGGGTTGTGTTTGACCTCAGGAGGCCGGGGTGGGCATGGCCAGCTCGACCTCACTTGTATCGGGGGCGCTTGTGTCCCGAATGCTCTGCTGGCGAGAAGAGGCTGCTGAGCTCCGTTTTCGGCTGCAACAGCCTCCTGCAGCCCTCTTCCAGTGAAAATGGAGCTCAGGAGTGCTGCACGCCGCCCTTGCAGGCTCTGTTTTTGGCTGTGACAGCCTCCTACAACCCTCTGCCAGCAAAAACAGAACTCCGTTTTCACTGGCAGAGGCACCACAGGCCAGTCCTTTGCTGTTTCCAGGCTGGCCCCGTGGGCCAGATCTAAGCAGCCAGAGTCGGCCCCCGGTCCTTGAGTTTGACACCCCTGCTTTAAACCTAGTGAAAACTATGACTATACCAGAGATCGGAAACCTTAAACACTCAAAGAGCCACAAAGGTCCTAACCAGAAGCCCCCCATTCATTTCTGGAGCCAAATGGAGTTCCTGTTCCTCTTAGCGCGGTGTCCTTTTTCCGTGACCTGACAAATGCGCGCCAGACAACAGTGCGCCGACAAAACCGCGGCGATAAAATCACGACGCCGACAGCGCACTGATGAATGAGCACAGAAGCGCGCCGACAAAAGAGCGCCGACAGAAGTGCCATTATGGTTAAAGTAAGGATTAGGGTAAGGGTTAGGTTTAGGGTTAGATTCAGGGTTAGGTTTCGGTTAGGGTTACCTTTAGGGTTAGGTTTAGAGCGCGCTTCTGTCGGCACGCTGTTGTTGGCGCGCTTCTGTGCTCATTCGTCGGCGCGATTTCAAACTCGCGCTTTTCTCCCCGCGGTTTTGTCGAGCGCGCATTTGTCGGTGAACCCCTTTTTCCTCTGCCAACTAGAAGTCCAGTTCCACCACCAGAGCCTTCTCCTAGCATGGCGTCCTTTTTCTAGTACCTGTCCTAAGCGAAAGCCCTATCAATTGTGGAGCCAACCGGGACAAGGGAGCCACAGCAGAGGGATGAAATGCGGCTCCAGAGCCACAGGTTGCTGACCGCTTGGCTATACAGTAGAACCATACAATAGCATTGGCATGTTGGCCAGTAGTGTAGAGTGTTAGATCCTGCTCCTTCAGCAAGCAGTTCCCCAGGTCCTTACATTTGTTGGTAAAGTGGGAGACAAGCTTAGATCTTATGCACATGACTCTCTTCTTTCTTTTCCCACCCCTTTTTAGCTAAGCTAAATAAGTATGGAGATGTTTGGGAAGAGTGAAAACCTTGAACTTCCTGAAGACCCATTCCTTGCTTCATTATTTCAGCTCAATCACTGTTGCTCAAACAGCTGAATGTTTTACTGCGAAACGGATATGTAATACATCTGCAATAAAGATACATTTGTTTTCCATTTTCACTCATTTTTACCCCCCAGAAAGAGTTTGTTCCATGAAGGAGGTTGTGTGTAAAATGGAAAGTGTCTTTTGCTTTGGACCCAGAAGAGAAGTTCTGATGAACTGGTCTGGAATGGCAGCAGTGAAGCCAAAAACAACATCTGGAATGTTTTTGTTACTCGAGTTGTCAGTTAAAGCAAAACATACAGAAAGCCAGGAATACTTTTACCGGTGTACATCCCCGCTGCCTTCCCCCGTCTTTCCAATATGGCCTATATCTCCAGTCCAGTGTTTCCTCAATATTGGCAACTTTTAAGATGCGTGAAATTCAACGCCCAGATTCCCCCAGCCAGCCTGCTCTCCCAGTTGAGAAATACTGCTTTACCACAGGAGTTGGGCAGTCGTAGCACTTGCTCAACTTCGAATGGTTACTACCAGTGGTGGATTCTGGCCGGTACGCCCTGGTATGGGTGTACCGGTGGTAGCTGGGAGCAGCGGCCACCGTACTGGAACAGTGCTTTAGAGGGCCCACCCGCCGGCCCTCGTTCCTTACCTGTATTTAAGCCAACCCGGCAATTTGCGCGCATGCATGCAGCGTACACCTACGCAACCTCTGCCAAGCAGCTGGAGCCTTGTATGGCAGTGGGTTCCCATGCATGCGCAACACGCGTGCCTGTAGTGGACACCCAGCCCCTTCGCAGAATACTGGTTGTGATAGGATCCGGAACCCACCACTGGTTACTACCCTATTTTTCAGAGTATAAGACACACCTTTTCCCCTCCTAAAAGAGCGTGGAAATGTTGGTGCGTCTTATACACTGAATACAGCCATTTTTTGCCTCCCGAAGCCCCGCCTCCGCATCCCATTTTTGTGAAAAACAAGCAAAACGATTTTGCAAAAACGGGGCTGTTTTTGCCTCCCCCCCCCCAGCCCTGCTGAAGTCTTACCTCTTCAAAATCTTGGTGCGTATTTATACACTAGTGCGTCTTATAGTCCCAAAAATACGGTAAATGAACCATTGTAAATTGAGGCATATGTGTACTGCAAATTTCATACTTGCCAAAATTAATTTGTTACCACAAATTCCACAATCACAATGCTTAGACACTTCTTTACATACGTGCAGAGCAGCAAATCATTTGAATCACCTGATACACAGCTGTTCCCAGCTGAGGTTTCAGCATTTTTTAATTCAGTATTCACGGCAATTTTACAGAACATGAACAAGTAATATGGATTCTCTGTATTTAGAGAAAATAACCAGATTTACTAATATGCAAAAATAATCATTTTATTCCAGTATTTATAATTCTGTACAGTGTCTTCACGTGGAGTGGGGATACATTAATGTGCGTAAAATGTTGATTTTGATAATGGGTGCTTTAAGAAACAGGAGTATCTGTTTTTTTCATTTGAGGATTTCCTTTGTCTTCATCATCTGTAGGAGAATGTTTCCTAAAAGCATTAGGAGCAGATTACAAAATCATAATTTTATTTCTAGAATTACAAAAAGTGTCCCTTAAACAGAAAATTTATTGAGCAGTAATAGGTAAGTGGCTGTCACTCATTACATAAGTTTCTATTACATTGAATCTGTTCACTCTGAATAGTTTTATCAAATCAGTACTATGGTTAGAGTTGAAAACATACAATACAGCATGGAAATAACCCTGAGCTCATCTCCACTCTGGCATGATGGGATTTTGTCGGGATAATAGTCACTAGTCAATTTTCCATTCTTTCCCCCACCAACCCTCCTAAAGAGCCACTGTATCTATGCTTATCAATTTCCTGAATGCAATGCAGTACTATATGACACAAAATGTCACACTAGGGAAGTCACTGCAGGCTCAAATAATAATGGGTACTTGAGAGACCGCCTGCTGCCAATTACCTCCCAAAGACCCATTAAATCACCCAGAGCAGGCCCCCTCCGGTTTCCGTCTCCCAGCCAATGTCATCAGTCTCCCAGCCAATGTCATCA